TGTGCTTATTAGTACGGTTGAACTGGATCATCGAAGGTCAGAAGCAAAGACATTGTTAATAGAGTGGGATTAAATACATAAAGGATGTTTGTGTTGTTTAATATGTAACTATTGCAGGTTTGCATCATATTCTGAGTTGCATTATTTGTATTCATTTTGAGGAATACTGAATCTGTGTGTGTGTGGGGGGGGGGGGTTGTGTGTGAGATGATTAATGCATATTCATATTTATTTTAGAGCTACAGTAACACCTTCTGAGTTCTGTCACCATGGCGACACCAGAGCTGTCACTCAATACATTCTCTTGTAAATTAAATTAAAAAAACTCAGATATTCTCTTGTAAATTAAAAAGTAATGTGTTACTTTACTAGTTACTTGAAAAAAGTAATCTGATTACGTAACTCACGTTACTTGTAATGCGTTACCCCCAACACTGATTTTGACTCCCTTTTAGAATATCATGGGTTATTTATTATCTGTCATTAAATGTGGTTGGTTTTGCACTTTTCTCACTTGAAATAGTTCATTTTGAAACAATAATTTACAACCATAGGTTGCCATGATTCTGTGTTGTCTACTTGTCAACCAAGGGTGAGTAAGTGAATTACAATGAACACCTTTGGCAGGCACCTGCTATAAACCCACGGTTAAAAATAAAACCTCCTTCAAAATAATATGCTGTTTAGGATTTTATAGGCTATTTCACAGTTCATAAGTGTATATTTCATAACTAATACAATGTTAATATACCAAGTTGTACAAAAGTCTTGATGTTTACCCCCATGATGATGCAGGTGATATAACAGAGGACCACATGTCAAGATGACTGAACCTTGTTATAAAGATGTGCACTTAATAGTGTTGAATACTAAAAAAAGTACTTATATATTATATTAATGAAATAAAAGGCCACTTAAGTGAACTTAAAACTGTTTAAACATGTATACATGACTATTTTTCTTAACACACTTAAGTGCTCTTATGTAATAATGTCAAATGAAAATTTTCACTATTGTTTACATTACTTTAATCATCTTTTGTCATGCTTTAAAGATCACTTTTAATGCACTAAACACACTAAAGCAAATTTACTTGATAATACTTTTACTAAATTTCGATAATTGCATTATTTAAATGTAATATTAAATATAATTGTAAATGTTTTATATATTTTAAATGTAAATGTATTTAAATACTTTATATAGACTATATATATATATATATATATATATATATATATATATATATATATA